CATAAACTCTCTCTTCTTCAATGAAGCTTACTGTAGAGAGTTCCTCACCCCCAGCATGGGCTGTAAACACTTTGGGGCGAACCACCGGCTCTTCCTCGTCTTCTTCACTTTCAGCTGCCATGGCTCCCTCAAGTGCTGCCATGGCTCCCTCAAGTGCTGCCATGGCTCCCTCAAGTGGTGACTCTTCTTCCATTGTCCCTTCCTCCACGTCTGGCAAGGCTGTGGACCTTGTTGAACGACCTCTTCCACGTACACCTTTCATGTAGTCAGTCTGCTCTCAAAGACTCCTCACAGGCATTAAATATCCCACCACTGCCACCAATTGTTACAATGTGAAGTGCAGGTGAAAAAAACGATATGTGGAGAGAGGGTTTTCGTTCAAAAATAAACCGTCAGGGCCTTCAAGGTATTCAGAGAATACCCTGGAACACTCAGATAAAACAAACAAAAAATCGATTTAATTATATAAATAAAATGTATATAAAATTAATAAATGAGAATCGTATCTGTGTTGTTGATCTGTAATATTACAGTTTTACGTTGATTTGTTTGTCCTTCTCGGACCATGCACTACGCATTTCAGTGGTTTTGTGTTAGAAAAGAAAGCAACCAATCAGATCTTGTTCTGGGTCTCTGGGTAGAATATCCTTCAACCAAGGTATTCTACATCCTTGATCGAATGCCCTGGCCGTTGCACTGAATGAGAGCGTACGTTTGGACTGACAGTTTGATCAACCAATCATATATTGACTTGTAGCCAATGGGCGTATTCTTTCAGAGTTCCCCTCGGTTCCAGGGTATTCTAGAAGGCCCGCTAGTTAACTGGCTCGAGACAGAGGATCTAGATGAATGCGACGAAGCAATTCATGCCGTTTTATTGTTTTTAACGTTGAAATGAGAAGTGCAACAGGTGAAGATGAAGTTGTTGCGGAATTGTTGTGAGTACCCTTTTCAAGACGACAATTCAGTGAAAAGACGGACATTATAATGCCGGGGGGGGGGCGGGGGGTGTGTGTGTCTACAGAAGGTCCAGTTGTGATAGACACGGTTCGCCGCTGCCAGCAAGGAACAAACACAAAATGCCCCCCTCCCTCTCTTCCCAACCACATTTATAGGAGACTGCCCGCCTTCCCAATCCAACCTGGCCAATCAGGTCATGCTTCTGAAAGCGGAGGGAAGGGTTAAATACAAAAAACTTCCTCACGTTTATGCAGAAGTGTTATTTTAAACAACACATTAAGTTCACGAAACACTTGAGTCAAATGTAATTAAAGTCAGATCCACTCGTGTCTTAGATGGGGCAGTGATATCATAAAACTGTTAATGTACGCATTCAAACACTCTGTAGTTGGTTTTTTTGTACCAGCTGTTCTGTATTCACCTTGCAGGTGAAACATGTGGCTTTTATCCTGGATAAAGTGTTTAAGTCATGGATGTTTAAAGTTTAACTTCTTCATATTTGTCTAATATTATAGTTTACTTTTCATTCAGGAAGTAGGACGCTACACTGACAGTACCACCCTGGTCTCACCAAAATACGTGAAATGAACACGTCTCCTTAACACCGCATTACGTGGTGGACACACGGAATCTGCTAAATGATGTGTCGGCACGACGGAATTTCTGCAACGTCCCGCAGTGAGCTTAAGTACAGTCCGCGGCATATCACTTCATAATGTATCATATATTTCCCTATCTGAGTCAGCTGAGCCGTATCTGGCCGTGCAACACTCACAGTGTCACATACTGTATGCAGAAGTATTATTTTAAGCAACACATTAAGTTGACGAAACACTCGAGTCAAATGTAATGAAAGTCAGATGGTGTCTTAGACGGGGCAGTGATATCATAAACCTGTTAATGTACGCATTCAAACACTTGTTCTGTTCCCAGCTGTATTCACCTTGCAGGTGCAGCTCTGTGGCTTTGATCCTGGATAAAGTGTTTAAGTCATGGATGTTTAAAGTTTAACTTCTTCATATGTCTAATATTATAGTTGACTTTTCATTCAGGAAGTATGACGCGCTGCGCTGTCAGTATGCTTCTCCATGTTTGTGATTGGTCGAATGCTCCAAATACCACCCCTTTCATGTGAACGCGCACCTAACTAGATAGGACACGGCTGGCTTGAGCGATCCACTTGATAACCCGCGTCGTAGTACAGTTTAGCGAGAGCGCGTATGTTTTGGATTAGGCCAACCGGCTAACTCAAATATATCCAGGTTAGGTTGAACCAGCTTCGTAGTACAGGCCTCAGGTTGGTCAGTACTACGAATCCAGTTCAACATACCCTGGATATGTTTGAGTTATCTTAACTAACACTAACAAACGCGATCTCGCTAAGCGGTCCTACGACGCTGGTTATCAACTCGGTAACTCGAGCCAGGGTTTCTCTCTCCAGCTGAGAACGTGTTCACATGAAAGGGGCGGGGTTATCAGCATTTGACCAATCACAAACATGGACAAGCGTACTGACAGCGCAGCGTCATACTTCCTGAATGAAAAGTAAACTATAATATTAGACAAATATGAAGAAGTTAAACTATAAACATCCATGACTTAAACACTTTACCCAGGATAAAAAGAACACAGCTGTACCTGCAAGGTGAATACAGAACAGCTGGTAAAAAAAAATGTTTGAATTCGTACATTAACAGGTTTATGATATCACTGCCCCGTCTAAAACACGAGTGGATCTGAATTTAATTACATTTGACTCAAGTGTTTCGTGAACTTAATGTGTTTTTAAAAATAATACTTCTGCATACAGTATGTGACACTGTGAGTGTTGCACGGCCAGATACGGCTCAAGAAGCTGACTCAGATAAGGAAATATATGATACATTATGATGTGATATGAATGATAATGGGACACATCAACGTCTGCACTCAGTGTACTTATGTTGTGGCAGATATTTAATTAAGCTTTCTTAACGCCAACGTTATAATAGTCAGATTGCTCTGAAGATGGGTGGTGATATTCTATTAATTTTCACGTTCACACATTCAGTGATTTTTGCCGGCCGTCTTTCCTGCAACGGCAGTTTAAACTGTATTTCCTTTCTCCTGTAATATGACTTGATCGCTTTAAACTATGCACACTGAGCTCTGATTGGTCAGCAGGCAGTGCTTTCACTGAGTTGATCTCTTATCTGGAATCAAACCTGCTCCGGAGCAGGTTTGCTGTTCAGCATAAGTTACCATGGAGATCTACCCCGGTAAGAAGTGAACCAGCGTCGTAGGTCCGGAAACCCAGAGTTAACCCTGAAGTTACCTCGCTAAGTGAAAATCCAGCTTCGTAGTACAGGCCTCTGGTCGGTCAGTACGCCCGCCCCTTTCACGTGAATGCGATTTACTGAGTTGATAACCAGCGTCGTAGGGCCGCTTAGCGAGATCTCGCTTGTTAGGGTTAGTTAAGCCAGATGACTCAGAGATATCCAGGGTTGAACTGGCTTCTTCGTACAGGCCAATGATTGATGAGGCTAAGCTAACCTGTAGCTGCTCCCTCCACACTCACATCAACTTCATACAGACATAAATAAAGCAGCTGTATTTGCCATACAGGAAACACACATTTAAAACGGTTTTGCCTGATGTTTTTTAGTCCACAAGCATTCATTAATGGTTCGGAAAGTGGCGCTGTACCTTAATATAAAAGATTGTATTTGCGTGCATTTCCTGTTCGGAAAATGGCAATGTACTGAGAGTGGAGGTGTCCTGAGATGGAGCGCTACGTCATGAACGCAATAAATCATACCCTCGTGGGGGCTCGCCCATGTGACCTTCAGGGGAATCTCAAAAAACCCACACACGAATGCACAGCAATCCGTGCACAGAAAGCGGTTTGTGTTTGCAGGTTCAGCGGATTTAAATGGAAAACAAATGTGTGGATCAAAAATACATATGTAAAACTTTTTTCTGTATTTGGATTTGATTTACATGTATATGAAACGGAACACATTTGTGTGTGCATTGACAAACACAAGTGTGAATCCTTCTGTGTGAATGTGTGTATTATGAGACTGTTCTGAGCCCATGGTAATGGACTGATGGCGTATGTATGCAGGTAAAATGCCCTTGTTCCATTGCTGTCCTTTGTTAATGGAAATAACTCGTGACATAATAATAATAATGATAATGCATTTTATTTATAGAGCGCTTTCCTGAAAACACAAAGACACTTTACAAAGTAAAAAATTCTTTAAAACAACCCACGTAAAATATATAAGTCACAACATTAATTACAGATTAAAAGCAGTTCTGATAAGGGGAGTTTTGATTTGTGATTTGAACATGGTGAGATTGAGGTGGTCACGGATATGTTTGGGGAATGAGTACAAGAGGGGGGGGCAGTGACGGAGAAGGCTCTGTCCCCCCATCTTCTATATATTCCATTCAGACTTTGCATCACAGTGACATTTTCTGAAGATGAACCAAGCTAAGACCTGCTTCACTTCTACTTCCAGTAAACACACTCAGCTCTCCACATGGACTTAATTGGTACTTTGTGTGCAGAGTCCACTGGGAGAGAGGCTGACAAACACACTCCTCCAGGGAAGACCACCTGAGCTCTCGTAGACTTTGTTTGTCTCCAAAGGCCCATGGGGATGAGTGGGAAGCTTCACCTTGTGGGTAAGCTGGGTCGATTCCCACCGTTTGAAGGCCCTGCTCCTAATTTAACTCTGCTCTTGTGCTGATATCGGCTCAGACAATAAAAATGGGAGTTAATGAGATCTCAGGAGAATGGCGATGCAGCTTTAGTGGCTCAGTTCATTAAGACTTTCCGTCGCAAAGGTAACAGTTGTTATATTTCATACCCTTCTTTACCTGGTTTTTGCTTCCAGAAAATGTAATAATAATGTGTTATGTGAACAACTCTCCCTTAGCAACCACCACACACACACTTAACACTGATTCAATGAAAACTCCCTCTGTTTTGTTAGCCTTGCGTTGAAGGTCGATGACCTTTAATTTAATGGTGATTTTCTCTTTCATTTCAGTTATCAAGGATCCCCCGTTCAAAGTGGAGGAGTCTGGATACGCAGGCTTCATCTTACCTATTGAAGTTTACTTCAGAAATAAGGTACATCCTCAACACCTGCTTGATTCTCAGTCTCTTTTAATCTTTTTGGTCCACCAGGTTTTTTTTACTACCGAATGCTATGGCTTTAAAAATGTATGTTATTGCTTTTTTCATTTAAAAAAAAAAAATGATATTAAAGAGGGTTGAAGATATTGCAATAATGTGGCTACCGTTTGAATCACCTAGTCCCCCAGGAAGCTCTTTAAGCAAAATATTTGTTAATATTGAAGAAATGAATTCTTCAATGAAGAATAGCCCTTCTAAATCTTAATTGTTTTTGAAAACCTTTTTTGTTTGCATTTTATTATTCAGAATTAGATTTTCACATTCTTCTTATGCAGTGAGACTTTTTAATTATTATAATTCTGATATATGAGTCATCGTTGTTGCCTATTATGGGATTCTTTTTTTAATTTCTCTGAAACAATTTTGTTGTAAAATTACCCAAACTGTGGAAAACAATATCGCAAACCTCAAGTTGACCATGGTCAGATTAACACTTAATGCTTTTAACTTTGGATGTTGAGTCTGCTTCATTAAAGTCGTGGAAACTAAATGATAGACAAACCACAGTTTCACTTTCTGCATTAATATTTATTTTTTTCCAGCATGATTACGAACCCAGACTCAGTGCTCAGTTTGCAGAGTTCCCAATAGGAGTCCGAAGCTTTTATAAACATTTCCAGTAGTCCAGAAATATTTTTTCTAGACTGTGTATAAGGTTGTGCCATGACATAACCATGCAGAGTAAATGCACACCTAATTATATCATTGTAGAGAACAAGAGGAAGTTACAAATGGTCTCAACAAAAATCTAAATGTGGTCTTCTTGTGATGCAACCTTGTGATGTTGATAAAGAATATAATGTAAGTTAGGTCCTGACAAACTGATTTTGACTGCCTTCTTTTTTCCCTCCCTGGGTTGATGATCGCTTCTCCTCAGGAAGAACCGAAGAAAGTTCGCTTTGATTACGACCTTTTCCTCCATCTGGACGGCCACCCACCTGTCAATCATCTCCGCTGTGAGAAGCTCACCTTCAATAGCCCAACAGAGGAGTTTCGCATGAAGCTGCTGAAAGCTGGAGGGGTAAGAGAGCGAGGGGGGGGGCTGGGACTTGAGTGACATGTCTTAATGGAAAACAGCAACTTTTCTGAAGCCCTGTATTTCTCTTGGAAAGGTTCGGTCCCAAACATTTTAGATGCAGCTACAGTAGGGTGTCCTGATAACGTTGTTTGGTCCCAGTTCCTACTTGTAATTTGGTATTGACAGTCTATCAACATTAATGTTGATAAAGTATGTAACTGAATAGATTCATCCGTGCTTTTCACAAGACGTTTTTTGCAAATATGCAAGTTCTTGAGAACAGGACCTTGGGGGACTCCACTAGTCAGTAAATCCAATAAGTACTGTTATTGTGTTCCTTGAGGTAGAATGTGAAGAGGGAAAGTTGAGAGCTTGCTAGCTCTTGTCAAATGCTGCTGAATAGTCTAACAGGAGGATGGGGGAGAGGAATGCTGATTTGGCAGTGTGGAGTTCCTCTGTGACATCAAGTAGGGCGTTCTGAGTTAAATCGCCTTTTTAAAACGTGCCGGTGGGTGTTGAGAAGATTGTTCTGGTGAAGATATGGAGAAAGTTGAGTGAAGACAGCACCACTCTTTAATGTACAATATTGGGTTTCTGCAAAAGGACAGTTTATCCCCAGAGCATAGTGGTTTGCATGTACACACTGTAATCTGTACTTGCATATGGAGCAAAATGCTGGTTTGGTTGTTGTTAATGAGAGCTTTACACTGCAACACAAGCAGAATACTGTAAAGTAAATATGTGACCTGCTCTATCGAAATCAGTCGCATTGACCCGAAGACACATTTTGAGTTGTATACACTGTTGGAAAGAGGAGATTCCTAGCTTTCTAATGATATCAGGATTGTTTTTGTACTCCAAATATTAAGCAAAATATGTCACATTATATAATGACTGTCACCGAGGCATCATTTTGAGAAAAAGGCCTTCAAAGTTTTCTCTTCTCTGGAATCCATCGATCTGATTGATTATTAGCAAATGATCAAAGTACTACAGAGGGAAAATATTTTCGTTTGGATTACTGGTCTGGAGGAAGCTTGTGTGTGTGTGTGTGTGTGTGTGTGTGTGTGTGTGTGTGTGTGTGTGTGTGTGTGTGTGTGTGTGTGTGTGTGTGTGTGTGTGTGTGTGTGTGTGTGTGTGTGTGTGTGTGTGTGTGTGTGTGTGTGTGTGTGTGTGTGTGTGTGTGTGTGTGTGTGTGTGTGTGTGTGTGTGTGTGTGTGTGTGTGTGTGTGTGTGTGTGTGTGTGTGTGTGTGTGTGTGTGTGTGTGTGTGTGTGTTGTGTGTGTGTGTGTGTGTGTGTGTGTGTGTGTGTGTGTGTGTGTGTGTGTGTGTGTGTGTGTGTGTGTGTGTGTGTGTGTGTGTGTGTGTGTGTGTGTGTGTGTGTGTGGTTGTGTATTTTTGCGTTTGTGTGTATTGTGTTTGTTTCCCGGGGAAAACCCTCACGAGAAACACCGGCTGTTGTTATGCCTGCTGTGACGTTAAGTTACTCCGTTCTCCGCTTGTAATTATGCCGTTACAAGCTTCAAAGTTGTATTTATCATCTGAATTTGCCGAAAGAAGTTTAATATTCTGAAAGCCGAGACTTTGTTTAATTGGAATCAGATGAAAACAAACTGTAACGGACCCTGCCGTGTTATCTATGATTACTATATGCCTACATTCATAATGTCAGCCGGAGGGAGGGGGGGCGGCGCTGCGGAACAGCAGAGTGTGAGGGAGAGCTGTCTTCTTCCCTTTACAAGCTTCAAAAATGTATTTATCGTGTGATTTTGGAAATAAAAGTTTCATAATCTGAAAGTCAAGACTTTGTTTATTTAAAATCAAACAAAACACCCGAACCCCGAAAAACTAGTTTTTTTACGCAAATCCACGTTTATTTTGAAATGAGCCGTTGTGACTTCCGACTGATTTCGATAGAGCGGGTCACATGTGTTATTTTATTTAACCAATGTCTATAATTCCCCAAAAATGTCCTGATATAATCCTTAGGATGGGTTTGGGACATCAATAGTTGCTTCCTCAGTGTTCAGTCAGTCTTTTTGGCCCTCTGCCAGAGGACCCCTGTAGTGGAAGCTTTATGACTGGAGCTAAGTGCTCTCTATTTACTTTGCCCTGCACCCTCTTCTTAGCCTCAAGAAGAGCAATGGCTGACACAGACCATATCGAAACCATCATTCTTAATTTCCACTACTGAAAGATCTTAGTATATCATTTGTACATTTGTATTCAATTCCAAGTTCCTTTACCACACCTTGTTCAGTGTTGTGGAGATTATTGTTTTATTATAAAATGATTTGCATTTTATAGATTGTGATCTTATTATTCATATTTTCTGTTGTCCCTCTCTTTAACAGCAGCGGGATCCTAACAAACGAAGTTCAGAAGACTCAAATGTAAGATTTCCAACATGCTTTGGGTTAACTGAGGAAACGTGTGTAATGCTAACAGCATTGGACATCTCTACAAAGTGATATGTAATTGGTTATGTGTAACAAACCCAGTCCTTTTATCCTGGCTGGGTGATGTCCAGTCCCTCAGCACTGCAGCACAGACACAGTGAGGCAGCTGTGTTGTCTTTACTTGCATATTCTGGCAATGGTTCCAGCTAATGACTGCACGATATTCCAGCAAATCAGACAGCTTTAGATGTTAAAGTGTGTGCTGTGAATACATTAGCATGTCTTGGCTTTGATGACGCCAGTGCGCTAATTAATTACTGTTAAGTCTTTCTTGAGGCTAATAACAAAACCTACATTTATTTCTACTAGACCATCAAGCAAAGTGTATTTATGAAGTACAATATCACACATTAAAAATGTGCCTCAGGGGGCTGATTTATAATGCTTGTTAAATGATTCAAGATTGATTAGATTGGCTATTCTTTGTGTGATGAGGTCAGGTCTTAATATTAATTGGCAAAAATGTTCCAATCGATTCTTTTGAAATGTTAGTGAATGCATGTGCCTTTGAAGAAACAGTTAAACTTGTTTTTCAATTTCAAAACGTTTTTTAAGTCTTTTCTATTGCGACTGAAAGAATAGGAATCATCATACAGTAGCTAACACTTTAGGAAGCCTTGGAAAATATATTCTAATAAAAATGTGGATAAGAATGTCTTATCAAATCAACTAATGCTGCCTTCAGCAAACAAGACCAGGAATCAGACCCAGCATTCAAGGCCAGTTTTGGGTACTCAAATCTTATTTTCCTTTAGGCCGTCTAAAGCAAACACTCCTCTGAATATGTGTTTTTCTGGTTGTCCTCCTGCAGGTGATGGTGATGCAGGAGGGCTCCACCTCTCTGTTCGGACAGCACATGAAGCTGCCTTCACTCCCCAGCTCGCTGACATCCACCTTCTTGGACCAAAAGAAGAGCAAAAGCTTTCACGGGTCAAAGGTCAGTGTCGTTTCCAGGTACTTGCCTGGAGCAAGTCACACTTCTCCCCCCCCCACCCACTCTCTGCCATACCCAGCTCTGTAATATTTCACTTCTTCAAAGTATGCAGGCTTTAATCCCCCACATATTCGGCAGGTTCAAAGACCTCCAGGAAATTTAAACTCAAAGATTTCAAAGGCTTAAGCAAACTAAATCTTGGCTGCTGCTGAGCCATAAGCACCGACTCCACTGACAGAGAAGCATGCTGGGAATCTATTTTCCTACATGTCCTTTGAAGACTTCTTATGCATAGAAGCAATAATGTTTGACAATATACGTTTTAGAAGCTACCTGTTAGATTTGAAACATTATCTTGTGCAGCACTGAATCATCATCATCATCATCCAATCCAATCCACTTTATTTATATAGCACAGTTTAAAAACAGAGGGTTTGCCAAAGTGCTTCACAATGAACATAACATTATAATAAAATATAATATTACACGAATAGATAAAAAGCACACATAAGAATAAATACAAGGCACATAAAGGCTATGGACAGACAGTAAAAGCATACAAATAGGTAAGACATAGCTCAGACTGACTGGTAAGCGAGGGAAAAGAGGTGGGTTTTTAGGCGGGACTTAAAAGCTTCAAGAGTGGGCGACAATTTAACCTGAGGGGGCAGGTCGTTCCAGAGCCTGGGGGCTACCGATGAGAACGCTCGGTCTCCCCTGGTCAGAATTATAATAATAATAATAACCTTTATTTATATAGCACCTTTTGAAAACATAGTCTGCTTGAACATACAAATCCACGGACAGCAAATGAATAAAAAGAACTGAAACTAAACATGAGAAGTTAAAAACATAGCAAATAATAAAACAGAAATACAAAGAAAGAGAATTAATGAAAAATTAAATAAGACTAAAAGTAGAATCACATAAAAGCAATTCTAAAAAAGTTTTTTTAAGTGATTAAAAAGAGCAGGCAGATGTTCCAGCCCTGATCAGAATCCTGTCTGTCTATAAGCCAGCATGATGTTTCCATTAAGTGTATTTTTAGTCCCTTTAAATAGTGTCATTTAAGAGCCACGTTAGGAGAGGCCCATTTCACATGGAAACAGTTTCCAGTCTAAACACTGTGTGTGTGATGAATTACTTGTAGAGCAGGAGGTCACACACACACACACTCTCGCTCTACTTGCAAAACCCCTCTCTCTCTCCATCACATGTTGAGAATGATTGCACTGGTACTATAACACATTAGATATTGTTGTAATAAATCATGGCTCTCGGACAAAAGTCTCAGACACTTTACTTTCTATCTGTTATTTATTACAATCATTTAATTTCACAAGCATGCATGAAGTATTTCACTAACTTTTGTTTTATTGAGTATATGTTCGCATCAGACTTTATTGGTTAAAATGTACATATACAGCAGCTCTGTACTTCTACTACTGCTATCAATACAATCATCCAAAAATGTATTATAAGTTGTAAATTGCTTGATCCAGATATCTTGTTGTCTTAAAAACTATGCATCTCTGGAAAGTAAAGAACATACTCATTATATGACTGTAATTATGATGTGCTGACAGTATTATGAATATTATACGCCCTTCAGTGATTTACATTAACTTGTGCCACTTGCTAACCTGCCAATGTCATGGTGCTGAAAGGTTTGGTAAAACGTGTCACTTTAGCCGCGTCAGAGCGCTGTGTCCTGTCCAGAGCACTAAAGCCTTTTTATGTGGGGCTGCCCTGTGAGGGGGGGCAGTGGAGGAGCTGCTGGAGGTCAGAAGGAATCGGCAGCTTTACATCCTGAGGTCCCGGGATCACCAGCAGATAGGCAAAATGAAAGGTTTTAGAGGTGCTTGGGCAGAGTTGTAACACTCCCCGTCGGCTAGACTGCTTTAATGGGTTTACTGCATTGATGAAATATTGACAAGGAGGCTGGAGGTGAGACCCAGGGACAAATGGCCCCCATCGTTAAAAGGAATGCATTTCCTCCTTTCTCCGCATTGCCCTCTGCTCCACTTTTAAGGTTGCGCATGTGTGGCTTTTGAAAAGACCCCCTCACGCCACGAACAACACCACTGAAAAGAAGTCCTGAGTTTGCTCTTTAAGCCCATAGTAGACTGAGAACACCCTTTTGATTTTCTTTTAAGAACGGGCTTCTTTTCACAGAGGCTAATGCCAAACTGCAGGGCAGCATGCGTGTTTCCTCTCATGTAAAAGGCAGAGCATTAATCTTCATTTGACCTAGCTTTTGCTCGCTTTGTTGTTTGGTAATGTGCTTTTTACAAGAACTACACATAGTCTAAAGTGCAGTCAACACAACAAGAGGAAACATGATTACATGAGACATTTTCAGAGATTGGAAAACATGTCTTTCCTCTTTTGGGTTATTGGGATATATTCAGTGGCAATTTACTTACTTTAGCTATTATTAAGGCAAGACAAGTCCATACCAATCCTTAGACATTATTTTTCAGTGGCTAATTATGTGCCAGCCCTATTATGTTTGCCCACGGACCTAAAGTAACCTTTTGCATAATCCTTTGAGCTGAAGTGTATTCTATAGCTTAGATCAGGGGTGCCCAACCAGTCGATCGCGGGGAGATTCCCAGTCGATCGCGAGATGTGTCTAAAAATAGAACAACAATATTCTGTTTTATCGTTAATGTCCTGTAACATAATCTTCCTGTGCCAGAATAATGCACTTGAACGCATCAAAGCTTTGTGATTGGCCGGCGTGACCCCATGTGTCGGGGCGTGGCTGGTGAGCAGTGCACTAGTTCGCTAACGTTGTCCGTGTCAACAGGAGTGACAGTCCGCACACACAAGACCGCAATTATGGCAGAAGCAAAACATATATAATTTTCACTCCGAGTGGGAGGATGATTATTTTTGTATCTATTCCAATTCAAAGTGCATCTGTCACATCTGCAATGCGAGCGTGGCTTTATCGAAGAAGGGTCATTTAGGAGCGGCATTTCAAAACAGTGCACAAACGCTACGAGACGGAATTCCCTCCTAATTCTGCCCAACGCTCCCAAAAGGGGAGGGGCCTGAAAGGACAGCTAAATGCACAGTAGTCCATTTTCACCAGGCCCAACAACAAGAGCAAGGCTGCTACTAGAGCATCTTATCGTGTCAGTCACGTTCTTGCGAAACACATGAAGTCTTTCAAAGACGGCGAAGTTGTGAAAGAAGCATTCCTGGAGGCTGCCGACGCGTAATAAAAAATAACAGAAGCATTTCAACAGGTTTTTGATATGATAAAAACTCAAGTTAGATATCGTTATTAATCAGCTGTAAGTTTGAGTTTGTTTGAACTTATTCATTATAATTATTGTACAAAATGGTATAAGAATGCAAACTTAAATTGATTATAGTCTATTATCAATTCAGGTTAAGAAACTAGTGTTGCTTGCATCCTATTTTTAAAAGGCATTTATTTTTATACTCTAATAAAATGCAACAAAAAAAGGGTTTGATTCTATTAATTTAGTCTTTTTTATTGCACTTTGGCAGCAGATTCCTGTGTAGCTTCAGATCTGAGTTGTCTTATTAGTAAGCCTAATTTATACTTTTGTAGCAACACTATTTTTATATAATGGCAAAGAAAGGGTTCAGAGTATTTTCTTTTTCCCTGTGTCATATGTGGCAGTACTGTTCAATGTTTCTTGAAAACATTACCCACTGTAGTGACGTGTGAATAAACACCAACTCTGTATCAACAACACTGTTGTGTAACTTCAGTTAAATACTTGTATGTGTGTAGATTAGAAAGAGGTAAGATAAAGGATCTGCAGTATTTTATGAAGTATTAATCGTACAAAGGTCAGTTTTATACAAGTAGAAGTGTGTATTTACCTGGTAGTAGGCTGTCAGTAATGGCTACGCCTCTCTATTTGGACTGGTAGATCTCGGCAGACTGGCCATTTTAAAAGTAGCTCTCGGTTCAAAAAAGGTTGGGCACCCCTGGCTTAGATGATTCTGTGTGATTCTGCTCGAACACCCCAATGTTAGTTACAATATATTGTGTTTTTTCAAACATGACTTAACTTGCATTCATGTAGATTGAACATTAGCCATACGTTTAGAATTCTTGCTAGGCTAAATCCTGATGTACAGTCTTTCATTCTGTAGGATGTGTTGAAACAATGTAGGATCTCTTATTTGTTAGCTCTGATCCACAGGATGGCTCCAAAGGAAGCAGCACCACCCTTCTCACCACCGCAACAACCACCAGCACCAACAACATCAGCTTCTCCAAACTCCACAAACCCTCCAAGGACCACAAAGACAAGCCTCCAAAAGACTTGAAAGAGCCCAAAAGTGCCTTCAGAGACTCTGGCTGGGAATCCAGCAAAGTCCCCAAAGAACCTTCCAGGAAACCCAAAGAGAACCAGCCACTTAGAGATATAAATCCTAAGATGGGCTTCAAGGAACCCAAGTCTTTGTCCAAGGAGCATCGGCCTGAGGGGATGACCCCTGGGTCGGGGCTAAACAAGCGTCTGTCCAGCTCCGACGCCGACGATCTCGTGACCAAAAAGCGTAAAAAGGGATTTGCGGATCCTTCAGGGAAGCAGACGTTGGGGTCAGATGCTCCACATTTGGATAAGAAAGTCTTGAAGGATAGTTCGCAGATGAGAACAAGTAAACTGCGACCAGAAGTTGAGGAGGCAGAGCGCAGGAAGGTGTCCACACTCCCCCCGTTCCAGGACCTGGGGGACCACAATGACTCTGATATGGAGGACCAGTCCCACAAATCAGATGTAAGTACAACCTCTTTTTGAACTGTCAAATGTTTTTGCAACCAAAAGTATAAGAAATGTTGTTCTGTTGTCTGCTAGCTTAGTGAAGCACCAGATTGAATTAATCTGTTTCTTTAGAGCGGGGACACCCATATCCTGTCATCATCACGGAGGTTTAATAAGCAGCTGTCTGACCCTGGTACAAGTCCAGAACATTGAACTCACTGATCTGAGCATGCAGGCCACTTTACTGGAAAAAGTGTTGAAGGGAGGGGGTTGTGGAAAGATATCCAATTCTTGGAGGGGGTGCAGGGGTTTGTTGGTGGTCAGTCCTTCCTCGGTGTGGAAAGGGTATAAAATCAGATGACAGACGAGAGAATCCTCTTGGAGGTCTGGGCAGGGGAACTGGAGGGAGGGGTCGGCACCATGAACTAGTTCAGCTACATTCAACTGGGTGGCCGAACAAGAAGAGGACACGACTGAAGAGAGATTTGATCAAGATGAAGTTTTGTTTCTGAATTAACAGCAAATAACTGTTTTTGTACACTAAAAGTCTGTTGGTATTGGAATCAGTTTATTGTGGATGTAGCATGTGCTCACTTACTAACATACAAAGTATTTCTCTCTGCCTCCACATCAAGAGTAGGATTAGAACAACTACAGTGACTCCTTTCATGAATAGGCTGACATTTGACTGGGTTGCCTGGTCCACGCACATTTGGTGGAGAACCTCCCCATAAAGACGGGCTGTTTTAAAGCCAAATAGTGGACAAGAAAGATTTATGGTTTTACAACACCTGAGGAGAAAAGGGAGAGGCGGCAGTAAATAGCATAGAGTTCCCCTTTAATCCTTTTCGCTTTTGAAGGAAGAAAAAGGGTGAAGAAAGGTCTAAATCCCCGTGCTTTGAGCGCTTTTCTTTTATGCGATGGTATTTTCATTTCTATTCTCTACAGCTTGTATAAAGTGTGGGTCTTTGTGTGTCTTCCTCCATAGGAGCAGCTTGTTTAGCCAGGGGAGTTATTACTTAGCACTAGCAGAACCTGTGTTTTTGTCAGCTCTGTATGTAAATGCCTTTCAGCTTTCCCATACAGAGACTGGGGGTCGAGTTGGTTGTAAAAGGGATGTGGGGTGACAAATGCCAGGTGTTTGATTCTCCCCAGGCTAGCAACTCGGGTGGCCGAGCGCCGCTCTCATTTCTCATGTGACCACTTGTTTGATCTTGCTGTTTTCCTCTGAGCGCGGGGCCAGAAACAGCAGAGAGGAGGAAATGTGGAGTAGGTGATGACATGAAGGGAAAGCAGGCTGGCTGTTAGCATGAGAACTTTGCTTTAGCACATTGGAGCTGAGTGATCTGTCACTGGCACAAGTGTGTGACATATGGCCCTTGTTCATAAAATTCACATCATCACAGAGACATGTGCAGTAGATAGCTTAACATATGTTCATGATAAGCTTGGTATTGTAAGGAATGACTAACAAATATTGTATTTTATTAATATTTTCTAAGCCTCTTTATAAACAGTTTAAGTTAGCATTTAGAAAGAAATGCCATGTCTAACCTCTGCATACATTAGTCTCCCTTAAACTGAAAAAAATAGTATTACATTGAAAGAAATATGAATAAATAATGTAAGTTATAAAATGGACATTAAAGATTTTAAATCAATTATTTTATTCTAAGTTTTCATTCCAGTTTAGCTTATATGACCTTAATTTAAGGATAAACTTAAACGATTTTACAAATCAAAGAAAACGAAGCAAAAAACCCAGAATTCCCCGGGTTTCTTCAAGGTAGACAAGTTGAGAAAAATACAAAAGAATAGAACAAGATTCAAACGGTTGAGAAAACCATGAATATGTGAACTGCATGTGTAACATTGAGCTGATACATTTAATAGCAATCCACAACATCTTGGTATAAAGATTTTTCATTCACAATAAAACGGTTTTGTTTGGACAGCCCCTGCTGAATTAGACAAGCTAACCAAAAGCTCTTGGTCAGATTAGTCTTGTTTGCTGGCCTTTCTCTTTTGGCCCTAACTGTGCCAAGAGTTAAGAGAAGAAGCCAGATTGATGCCAACACACAGTGACTAAAGACTATTTATCGTCTTTGAAGAGGGCAGCTTTGGTGGCTTTGAGTAAAGCAGGACAAAAGCCCTTAAAAGGAGTGCTGGTAAGATTGATGGCTCCCTGAAGAAGCTGTCCCATAAACCAACAGACCAGCTGTGTGTTGTTTGTTGGCAGGAGGTGACGGACATTGAAGTCGCTCTGTCTTTTCTTCTCACTTCTCTTTTTATCTCATGTTTCTTCTTGAGGTGGCTTCTCGCTACTTTGTAGTTCGGTACCGCGGCAACAGCCTCCTTTTATATACATTTGGGTTTGTATATTGACAAAAATTGCATTTAAACTCCCTTTTAGAATGACTTGTTTTAAACTTGCACAACACGTTGTTCTGAATGGGTAAACCCACTATGAGAGCATATTGTGTTTAAGAGTACCTTCTACCTGTCACATCTCTTGTACTCATTGTCCTCTATAAGAACTTAACAGTAGGCAACATGGGGCTTCCCTTATCTAACTTTGAAATACTTTGAAATGTACATTTTCTGTATATTCTCTTGAGTTCTGCTATATTTGACCTAATTAGGACTTTTCAAATACACACTTAAAAAGGCAACATGTCTGGTTACTTATGTTTGTCTAGCAATTAACTGACTGCCCATAGGTCAATAAAAAAAAAAGGTTGGTCGGTGTGTGGGTATGTGTCTCCGTTAGGGATGTAACAATATATCGAATATAGCGATATCGCGGCAAATAAATGTCTCAATACCGTCGTGAGACTGACAAAATCTACCGCGATTTTTTTAATTATTTCTTCTTTTTTTTTTAAACCTTTATTTAACCAGATGGTCCCATTGAGATCATTGATCTCTTTTTCAAGGGAGACCTGTCCAACATGGCAGCAAGTAGGTTACAACATGAACATAAAACACAAAAGGACATGGTATTTACAGGGCTACATGTACACACCTAGAGACATTGACAAGTACCAACAGTATATTTATATCTCGCCCTGTCAATAAGCCTCACCTTCTTGGCAAACACGGTATTGTTTTTGAAGTGGCAGAGAGACAATGCACAGTTTGACCCACTGCTGTCACCCATGGCCAAAGCATATCTCTCTGTCCCAGCAACATCAGTACCAAGCAAGAGAGTTGTTTCCACAGCAGGGGATTTTGTAAACGCCCAAACATCCCAGCTTCTACCTGGAAATGTGGACATGCTCATATTCCTGAAAGATAACCTTGATGACGCTGAGTGAGTGAGTTAGAGTTGAGTTACTTGAAAAACTAAAGTGAAACTTGATTTATTCTATTGCAGGGTCTGATTATTATATTGTTGACACTTTAAAATACTACTATCCTACTAAAATGCTGTACAAATCAGATTTATTATTTAATAAAGAAAACAAATTCAAGTAAAAAAAATCAATATTAATATTGCGATAAATACCGTACCGTGGACTTTTTATCGCGACATTATCGTACCGTGAGTTTTTGGTATCGTTACATCCCTAGTGTCCGTTGCTCTCAGCGAATAGAAAAGCAGGCAGAAGCAGGGAATAAGTATTTATAATGTTTAAATTCAGGATGAATTTATCGTCTGATCAGTTCCTTTGATAGTCCTCTATAGAAACCCTGTTCAAACTATTATATACTACACTATAACTAGGGTTGGGAACCGAAACTCGGTTCCAGATGAGAACCGATAAGAAAATGCCGGGTACCGGGTACCCATACAAAATACACAATTTCGGTTCTGCTTAACGGTTCCTAAACGCGGTAGACCCTGTATTCCAGCGGGTCCGTCTGCACCGCGGTGCTGCGGTGACCCGGTGGAATACAGGGCGGACCTGGAGAATCACAGAACGGCCGGTCGTCAGCGGGCCGTTGACGGCCGGCTCGGTACGCTGACGGCCGGCACCACCCTTCATTTTTTTAAACGGCATCATATAAATTGCGCTGACAGGCGACAGAGGTCCACAGTTGCCCCGCAGCGATGCTCCCCCGCCCTCCCGTAGACATTTCACGAGCTCAGTCACTTCATAACACCAAAGATAGGTCGCGGTAAACACTCTGAAGTGAGGCTCCACTACACTAAAAAGAAAAGGCAAAGTGTAATGCCTGTTAATCGCTTGCCACAGGCATAGCTCAGTTAAAATAAAGCACAGCTATTGTGCAATACATTTGTATTGCATGTATATTTTTTAGTAACAATTTCAGTTAAAGCTTTTAAGAATAAATATATTGTTGTTATCTAAACGTTTGACCTCTTTATTTTACAATTTTGGAATCGAAACGGGGAATCGATAAGAACCGGAATCGATAAGCAGAACCGGAATCGAAATCGGAATCGATAAATTTCAAACGATACCCATCCCTAACTATAACCCACATAGTAGCATTGATATTGTGGTTGATTTTCTGACAGATATCCCAAAACAGCACCTCAAACCACTTTGTTCAGTTTGCCCCACTGTGTGAATTCCTTATCATTTATTTTCTATCATTCCCTCTGTTTTCTCTGTGCGCTGACAAATCTCCTTTTGAAATGTCTTCCCTTCACAAAAGACTAATGTGGCCCATTAGTCTTTGTTTTGTTGTGTATGGTGTTTTTCTTTGTATCCAACGATTACTTTAATTATAAATTATTCTGTCAATTATTCTGTCAATTATTCTTGCCGATCATCTGATTTATTATATACCATTTGCCCTTACGTAGGATATTGTATACAAACCACAACGGATTAAGATCAACCTTAAAGCAGACACTGAAACCAGAGAGTTGCAATTATTATTGTTGAATTTGTTCTCGTTATGTGACATCACATGAGTTCGACCAATCAAAAAGTACCTGAGACTTGAATTCAGCATCACCACTCTATTAGGTCGCAGGAGAACATTGAAGGTAAAAGCAGAACCTGTGATGGGTATTTAGTTTGCCTCCTGCAGTGGCAAAGTATTGTACAATAGTGTATGATGATCATTGGGAATCACTGTCTCTGCGGTCCTGCCTTGGGTCTCGTCATGCTGCGTCCCAGATGGCTTCCACAGGATTGTAGCTGACATCCTCGTGGATTCATCTTCTTATTACAGACACATGCATTCCCTAACATTCGGTCTATATGCTGTAAAATGTATTATCTCTTCAATTTACACACGGCATCTATTGCACGTCTGTCCGTCCTGGGAGAGGGATCCCTCCTCTGTTGCTCTCCCTGAGGTTTCTCCCATGTTTCCCCTTTAAACTGTGGGTTTTCTCTGGAGGTTTTTCCTTGTACGATGTGAGGGTCTAAGGACAGAGGGTGTCGTTTTTCTCATACTGATATTCTGAACAATCTGTGCTGTTGTATTTGCTGTAAAGTGTCTCTACTGTAGGCTATTTTTATTTTATGTACAGCACTTTGGCTCGACCAAAAATCGTTTATAAATGTGCTATATAAATAAAACTTGATTTGATTTGGGAAGGTGGGTGAGGGTTATCATGGTTTCTGTATGGCTAATACACAAAAATACCATACAACGTCCAATTGGATCTCCAACCTGATTCGCTCTGTCTTAGACAGGAGTTTAAACATGTGGATCAGGAGAAAAATAAACGTTCAGAGTCTCTTAACACACAGGGGAGACATGTACACTGTACTGCATACTGTATGTTAAAAATACATGAAAAAGGGCATTTTGCATAATATGTGACCTTTTTAAATCACATGTTACACTACAGTGTATTTGCCCTTTGGTTTTAAATGGCACTTGAGGCTTCACTCAGGTGCCCGGGAGAATGTTATGAGGCACATCTTCTGATTTGTGCTAGTCCATGTGGTTTGTTGACATCTTCACACGTGGAAGACTACTTTCTTTTAAAGTGTATCTAAGCATGTGAGAAGTACAAAAGTCAGGAATGTGGTGATCTCTTAGATCTCTGCCCGTTCTCACACCTGGGAGAGTCTCTTTTCTCTTATTTCTTGTCTATTTTAATATTGAGTTTGACGCTTAACAGTTTTCCTGTGTATTAGACATTTTAAAAACTCCGACTTGCCAAGCTTATATTTATGACAATATATCACACAACTATATTGTGCTAAACAATATTTATATGTGCTGTTTATTAAACGTGTTGTAAAAAGAAACCGACAAATACTTTGTCATGCAAACTTTGTAATGGTTACAAGATTGAAACAATGACTTAAAAAGAGCAACCAGAAGTTCTTGTGTTCAGACTGACAATAATTGTGACGTGGCAGGAATGAAACCCTGCGGCTCTCTGGGCATCCCCGCAATTTGTGATAAACCTGCCAATTGGACACTAAATCTAGCTGCAAACGTGTGGCCTTTTATTAGACTCAGTCATTCATGATGGTAGATGTAGACCTGAGGCTCGAGTAGTAAAAGTAGCTTGGCTCTTTTCAGATGGACCAGAAGTAGAGTTTGTGTGGATGTGTTGGCTGGCTAACAGCTTTGACACACCAAGACGACTTCAAAGAATGAGTGCTGACTCAGGACTTAATAAAGAGGACATATTCTGCTCATTTTCTGGTTCGATCCGGTACTTTAACGGTATTTTTATCGTTTATCTTTGCAATTTTTTAAGGGAAAAACTAAACAAATTGAAAACAGAATTAACATAGATATGACATTTTTGTAACAAATAATTATAGACTAATGTGATGATGGCAGAGCAAAACAAATACAATCATGTACTGTACTTAAGTACGGAGCCCTGGAGGATTCATTGAGAGAAAAATAAATAAAACGTGGCCACGTTATACTTTCTCGTTCGCACGAGTTACTAAAGCGTGGGCACGAGTTACTAAAGAGTGCGCACGAGTTAATAAAGCGTGGGTATGAGTTACTAAAGCGTGCGCACGAGTTAATAAAGCGTGGGTATGAGTTACTAAAGCGTGCGCACGAGTTAATAAAGCGTGGGTATGAGTTACTAAAGCGTGCGCACGAGTTAATAAAGCGTGGGTATGAGTTACTAAAGCGTGCGCACGAGTTAATAAAGCGTGGCCTCGTTTTATTTAAATTGAGGGATTCCTGTGCGTGACTCACAGTATCTGCTGCCCACAGCTGTTTTATAGAAGGAAAACCTCCTTCACTTTATGAAATCTCTGTGGCACCAGTGGCCTGTACTACGGAGCAGGATTTGCTATACACTATTCATTCATGAAGTATGACGCTGCGCTGTCAGCACGCGTCCTCCATGTTTGTGATTGGTCAAATGTTGGTAACCCCGTCCCTTTCACGTGAACGCGCTCTCAGCCGGACAGAGAAACCCTGGTTGATTTGCTGAGTTGATAACCAGCTTCGTAGGACCGCTTATCGAGATCGCGTTTAATTCATCCTTCATTAGAACAGCTGAATAGAGATCGAGGCTGCTACGTTTAACCACACACACCTCTACACACATCGAACTACCAGAGTATTCCCCCTCGTTTTATGAAAGAGATGTCCTGTCACCGGGGCGCATGGTGTGTGTGTGGACATCAGCAGGAGAGGACTCTTTAAAGTAGAGACACTACATACTGATATACACCTGAACATCAGCAGGAGAGGACTCTTTAAAGTAGAGACACTACATACTGATATACACCTGAACATCAGCAGGAGAGGACTCTTTAAAGTAGAGACACTACATATACACCTGAACATTTTCTTGAAGTAACACTGGATCAGATGTTCTGACAGGACACTAAGCCAGTATTGAGTAGTTAACTGCAAAAGCTGGAACTTTCCTTACACACTTCCTGACATTTTATCATCTCTTTGCCAACATGTTTCCTGTCTGCCCGCAACACTTCCGTTTTATGTTACCAGTCTTCTACACTTTAAAGCAACTGTCATATGGTTCAGTATGAGGGGCCGTACAGGCCGTAATTCATACTGGTCTTCTCACGCACATACATTCTCCTTTTACATACATATATGTTCACTCTTACACACATACATACGGAGCCCTGGAGGGTTCATAGAGAGAAACATTTATAAAACGAGGCCACGTTTTATTAATTTGTGCGCACAATATACTTTCTCGTTCGCACGAGACTTTCTTATGGTTAGACACATCGAACTGCCCGATTATTGCGCCATATTATTAGTTTTATGAAGAAGGTGTGTGTGTGTGTGTGTGTGTGTGTGTGTGTGTGTGTGTGTGCGTGTGTGTGTGTGTGTGTGTGTGTGTGTGTGTGTGTGTGTGTGTGTGTGTGTGTGTGTGTGTGTGTGTGTGTGTGTGTGTGTGTGTGTGTGTGTGTGTGTGTGTGTGTGTGTGTGTGTGTGTGTGTGTGTGTGTGTGTGTGTGTGTGTGTGTGTGTCGGCGCAGACTGCAAACTCATCTCTTTCGACTCCACTTCGAGCGATAGAATTATTAACAAAGCACTTATATCATATCAAATTTTATTTCTATAGCACATTTAAAAACGATTATATACTAATAAAGGACTGGCTTATCTACAGCCAGTTGAGTAGCACTTGAAATGTTTGGCTCTATGAAACCTGATGTACTTATATGATTCTGTTTTCTTCAAGGTTATATCTTCCTGGTCGAATGTACTTATTGTGACTGATTTTAAATGCCATTTTCTTAATGTCTTTCATTTTTTGTAAAGCACTTTGAATTGCCTTGTGTTGAAAAGTGCTATATAGATAAACTTGCCTTGCCTTATTGTAAGTCGCTTTGGATAAAAGCGTCAGCTAAATGCAATGTAATGTAATTTAGTGGGTGTGTGTGTGTAACATAGCAGCCTCAATCTCTATTCAGCTGTTCTAATGAAGGTAAACACAGTTAAGGCGCTGCGTAAAAGACACAGCTCTCTGTGCGCAGATACTTAGCAGATACTTAGCAGATACTTAGCAGATACTGTGAGAGTCACGGACATGAATTCATAGATCAAGGCAGACTGGTTCACCGACTCTTCTGTTTTGCGAATCCGGTGCTTAAACGAATAGCTCTACACCTCTGGCTGAAATGTCCCTAAAATGAAGTCCGAGTTTGAAATATATCTCAAATAATGTATGCACTGCCATTTCCCCACATAAACATAACAGTCTGCAATGAAACGGTTGTCTCCTGTGTGTCCACTTCCTACTCGTGCGCACAAAAAAGTATCTTGTGCGAACGAGAAAGTATATCATGCGCATGAATTAATAAAACGTGGCCTCGTTTTATTTAAATTGAGGCCACGAATTACATCTTGTGCGCACGACTTAATAAAACGTGGCCTCGTTTTATTTATTTTTCTGTCTATGAACCCTCCAGGGCTACGTACAAAAATGAGAAAATGCCTGCACATAAATACATTTTGATGTGTATATGTGTCTTATACTGCATTGATCCAAATGTAGTCTGTTTTATGTGTATTTTATTTCCTCACACTTTCCTCTTCTCTCTCCCAGTCTGAGCAGCCCAGTCCAGCCAGTTCCAGCTCCAGTTCAGGCTTTGCTCCCACTCACCACAAACGCCAAGGTAATGATCTGATCACTCAGCAGTTGGTTTATCGTCTTTTTCAGTCAGAAATGTTTGCGATTAGATCTGTTTTTAAGAATGGATAAGAGAATGCAATACCTGTTGACTTTGTGTACACTGGGACATGAACTAGGAGTTGCAGAACTGCCTTTTATTTAAACACATTCTTACATTTCCTTCAATTGAGGGACTGCGATCGTAGTCTAAACAAATGGCTGAATTATTTTCCAGAGACAAAAAAAACCATTTGGTACTTTTGGGTAAACAAAGACACTTCAGAATTAAGTCAACATAGTTTGATAAAATTGCTTTGGAAATGAACTTATCAGATGTAGCTATCATGTAGCCAGAACAACATTAATACATTACATCACAATGTAATTTTATTAAAATAATTTCCCCATCTCATTTTATAACAGCAGAGTTGTGCAGCCCTATTTATTCACCTGTCCAAAGCGTTTGATACCGTCGATCATCGCATCTTAAAGCAGAGGCTACTCAGTATCGGCATATCCAGCCATGCAGTGGGTGGTTTGTGAACTGCCTCTCTGAAAGGTCCCAATGTGTTCACTTGGATGGGCTGTCTTCTGAGTGGTTAAACATTACTAATGGTGTTCCTCAAGGTTCTGTTTTAAGTCCGCTTTTATTCTCCCTATATATCAACAGTTTAGGTGAAAATGTGGATGAAGCTACTTTACATTTGTATGCGGATGATACCGTGATGTACTGTGCAGGTCCCTCCATTCAGGAGGCTGGTGTTAAATTACAGGCTGTTTTTAACATTATTCAGACTCAGCTTGCTGAACTTAAGCTTATTTTAAATGTTGATAAAACCAAGGTAATGCTATTTTCAAAAGCTAAAAAGACTCCAGAGACTGCTTTGGATATTGTTACTATGCAAGGACAAGTACTTGAAGTGGTTACCTGTTATAAATACCTAGGTATCTGGCTTGATGATTGTCTTACTTTTAAACTTCATGTCAATAACCTGTTTAAAAAGCTGAGGGTTAGACTAGGTTTCTTTTTTAGAAACAAGTCCTGTTTCTCTTTTGAAGCCAGGAAAAGGCTCTGTGACCTTTTGACCTGTGCTGGACTATGGTGATCTGATCTATATGAATGCACCTGCCCATTGCCTGGAAAAGTTAGATGCCGCCTATCACAGTGCTCTGAGATTTGTTACTAACTGTAAAGCACTTACTCATCACTGCACCCTGTATGCCAAGGCAGGTCTGCCTTCACTAACTGTACGGAGGCTCAGTCATTGGTACATGTTGATCTATAAAGCCATGTTGGGTAAACTACCTTTTTATATCTGCTCTCTGATCTCACAGAGAGTGGCAAGTAGCTATTGCCTTAGATCCCAGGATGTGTTTTTATTACATGTGCCAAGTGCTAGGACTGTTTTAGTTACTAAAGCTTGTATGTGTGCTGCTCCTCTAGCTTGGAACACTATGCAATTTTTTTTGAAACTGAGCATTTTGGTTCTCTTGCATCATTTTAAAGCTTGGATAGATGAAATGTTATTAGATATCCGTCATTGTGAATAGGTTGCTAATTTATACCCCTGTAATTATGTTGTATGATATCCTTTTTGTTTTCTGTTGTTTTTATGTGTAACCAATGTGCTGCAGGTCTCCCTTGAAAAATAGATCGTTGATCTCAATGGGATTTTCACCTGGTTAAATAAAGGCTACAAACAAACAAACAAACAAACAAACAATAACTGTTCTTTTTGTCCTGAGTGGACATATTATATTATTGTAGTGAGCTTCAGGAAACACCAGGGTTTAAACTATGTGCTTGAACCCCGGCTGGAAAGTAAGTCTGGAATGTTTTATTTGGTAAACGTATATATTTGGGGCATTGGTTTCTTGAGGGTGACCTCTGCGTGTGTTTGTCATTTTCTCTGGATGCAGTGGTGGACTTCATCATCAGGAAAAGGGTGGCTATTCCTGCCGCCACCCACACAGGTAACACATCCTGGTGTGGAGAATGTGCATGGATAGCTACTTGGTGTTTATAATACTGACCAAACAACATGTGAACATACTGTATGACCTCTTCACCTCTAAGATGAGGGACACACTATATCATTATGGTGACTACCTCATGTCCCTTCCTTACCATGAACACACACTGTAGTTTCCATTGTCCCACATACACTGTCCTGCTGCCGGAATACACACTGAGTGTGTGTTTAAGATGGGGTCCACAGGTTTTTTTATGGCATTGGTCATAATTTGCTGTCATTGAATTCCCCATTTCTGACCATAAAGCTGTAATTTTTTATATCCATGCCCCCCTTTCCAAAGCCAAAGAACAACGGTCCATCACCTTCAGAAACATTAAACACATTAACCCCACAGATCTCACCACTCTGATTAATTCCTACCCCAATCCTCCAACATCCACCCACCCTGCTGACCTGGTGAATCACTATAATAACTATCTCTCCTCTTCCCTCACTGCCCTGGCTCCCCTGAAAACTCGCAAAGTTTCATTCACCCACTCCGCCCCCTGGTTCACCTCTGAGCTACGTCAGCTCAAAACAACTGGCCGCCGACTGGAGCGGCTGTGCAAAAGCACCGGACTCTCAGTTCACACGCAAATGTACTCGGATCACCTTCACCTCTACAAGAACGCGCTTTCCAATGCCAAATCCTCTTATTACTCCAACCTCATCAGCACTGGTAACAACAGAGTTATTTTCTCCACAGTCAGTCAATTAACACCATTCACCTAGAGCTGGCCTCAGCATGCACCTCCTCAAGTGATCCACCCTGGATGGCTACCACTGGTCCATCACTCATCAGCTCCCTCTCCATCTTCACCCCAGCATCGGAATACACCATCTCAGAGCTCATCCTTAAAGCCAAAACCACCACCTGTCAGCTTGATCCTCTTCCCACCACCCTGGTCAAGGCTTGCCTACCAGCCATATCACCCATGATCACTGACATAATTAACTCCTCCCTCACCTCTGGAATTGTACCCACCACCCTCAAACTGGCTGCAATCACTCCCATCCTCAAAAAACCCGGTACTGACCCAGCCGATCTAAACCACTACAGGCATTTCACTGGGTGTCCCCCAGGGGTCAGTACTCGGTCCACTCCTATTTATCATTTATCTCCTCCCCCTGGGCAAAATCCTCCGTCACCATGAGGTTAATTTTCACTGCTACGCCGACGACACACAGGTCTACATTTACTGCAAACCCACCACTGCCCTCCCCCCCACCTCCCTCACCACCTGCCTTGAGGACATCAGGAGCTGGATGAGCAGGAACCTCCTGAAGCTTAACAGTAGCAAAACTGAGGCCCTGCTCGTCGGCTCCAAATCCACCCTCACCAAGTCACATAACACCCCAGCACCAAACATCATCATCGACGGCTTCCCCATACCATTCGCTGCCCAAGTGAAAAGCCTCGGTGTCATTCTGGACGGCTCCCTCTCATTCGCACCACACATAAAAAACATCACCCGCACCGCCTTCTTTCATCTTCGGAACATCTCCAGACTCCGCTCATTTCTGTCCCAACCCAGCACTGAAATCCTGGTCCACTCATTCGTCACATCCCGGATTGATTACTGCAATGCACTTCTGACTGGCCTTCCCATCAAACTCCTCAATAGACTGCAAATAATCCAGAACTCTGCTGCCCGGATCATCACCCGCACCAACTCATCCGACCACATCACCCCCATTCTCACTCAGCTACACTGGCTTCCTGTACGCTACCGTATTGACTACAAAAACCTTCTACTCATATATAAAGCTCTCCATAACCTTGCCCCCATCTACATCACTGACCTCCTTCAGGAGTACACCCCCTCCCGCACCCGCCGTTCTTCGTCCGTAGGACTTCTCACCGTCCCAAGCTCTCGCCTCAAAACCATGGCTGCTCGAGCTTTCAGCTGCTCGGCTCCCAGACTCTGGAACTCCCTGCCACGACACATCCGACAGTCTGATTCCATAACAACATTCAAAACCCACCTGTTCAAATTGGCATTTTCTTTATAAACTGTACCCTGTGTCCTTTTGTGTCCTTCTATAGTCCATTTCCTGTTGTTTGTCTTGTCTTACCCCAGCTGATACTTCACTAAATCTACTGTTTTAATTGTTCCCTATATTGCCCCTATGCCCTGTAAGGTGTCCTTGGGTGTTATGAAAGGCGCCCCCCCCAAAATAAATGTATTATTTATTATTATAATAGTTTACATAATAAACGTTCACCATATCCGAGTGGTACACAAGGGTGTTCAGTTATCTGGGATTCTGGGGTTATTATTTTAAATATATATAAAATAATAACCCCAGAATTTGTTTTGCCATTTGATATATATATAAAATATACGTATATATAATTATTTGTATCCGCTAAAATACAACAGTTCCCTATCAATAACAAATAAGGAATAAAAAAGCTGAAATAAAAAAGAATTGGCCCATAGCTCCAGCACACATTTCTTACAGAATGAAGGCAAAAGCTTTGACAATGAAATGTAAACAATAAATAAAATACTCTCTCCTGTTTAAATAACATTCACTTTGAAAATGTTTTTTCAATTGTTAAGCCAAATGAACACCTTGAAGAATCCAATCAGCTTCGGGCTGAGAGTCTCTGGGGGGGGGGGCGAGATTGACCTACTCATTGTTGGTGTATTTTCGTAGGATCTGTTGATATATAGAATAACAGCGTTACTCTTTTTAACATTTAAACTGCTGTGATCAGACGCAGCAGTGGTGCAGCCTCAGGCTCCGCCCCCCAGCATGCTCAGCTGCTAATGCATGTTATTACTCGTGTTTCAAATGAATAATGAAAGACCTGGATGTTCTGTCCCAGTGCTGGGCCCACTGCAGTCCGTCATGCAGGATCTGCATTCCGAGGACAACGACGATGATTCAGAGGAGGACGACGACAACGACATGGACTCTGACATGGAGCGACCGGCAAACACACACCACACACACCACCAACGCAGGTTAGTGAACAGTCACTAGAAAGAGGCTTATTGATGCTGCCCCACGCCATGAAGAAGTCATCATGACACAAGCAGCAAATATGAGCAGGATACAGAAGCTGTGGGATTTTAACTACACCATTGAGTTTTAGTGATTTGGGTCATTGAAGTGCTTATATATTTTGTGCAAGAGTAGAAGTGAATGTTCTACATTTATATTTTTCTCTGTGATCTTTTGTTAAACCCGCTAGATTTAATGTACCACACAATAAAACGTTTTTGGAATTTCTTGTGGAGGCAGTTTGATCTCCCATGGCAGCCGGGCAGCAGAGATGTAAAGCCTCTTCTGATATACTGAAGCTTTTGTTTCCTGTTCTCCCCCAGGGTCAGTCTGAGTGATGGCAGTGAGAGTGACAGCTCCTCCCCCTCACCTCCATCCCGTCATGAAGCCCCGCCCTTACTAAAGACTACTAATAACCAGGTAAGATGATATCCTAGTATTAGTTAGTGTCATTGAATATATAAGGAGGGAACCCAGGTTGTAGTGTCTGTAGATTGAAGTAACACAGAGTGACTGACTGCATGTACTCTGCTCTCAGATACTGGAGGTGAAGAGTCCCACCAAGCAGAGCAAGCAGGACAAGAACAAAAACATAGATTGTGACAAGGTACACAAAGCTTTTTTTGTTTATCAGTATAAATCAGACCATATGCAATAAATTAGGAACTATTTCAGTAACCTATGGAGTTTAACACAGTACAATGCTCCTGCCTTCACTTCCTTTCTCCTGACCACAGAGTATGACTTTGATAGAACAATTACTGTATAGAAATACATAATGGGATCATAAATAATGAAAGAAGCGTTATCAGTTCAGTAGTTTCACAGATACCTGTGGTTTGCAAAGAGAACTTTAAGACAGTTTAAAGGTTTTTTCTGTCTTAAAGCTATTTTTGAGGGAATGTATTGGGTAAAAAAAGAAATCCTTACGAATGTACAACTCTAACAGTAGTTGAAAAACCAGCACAAGTTGACAGCTCAGTTGGAAAATACAGTTTTACAAGATGATGAATAATATAGTAAGATTTATATTAGAAACGAATAAAACATTGTCTGAAAGCTGGTTAGAAACTTAACCTTATGTATTCTTATTTAAATCCAGCTGTCTTGTTCTATTTACCAAAACGTTTGTAGTTGCTAAAAAAGGGGTTTTGTAGTTGTAGCCCAGTGTAAGGCGGTAGGAGTTCTAACCATACCCAGCTGTGCATCTTGTGTGACAGGCTGCAGTTGGACAAGTCTGGTGTGAATGTGTGAGACGTGGTTGAGCGTATGTTCCTCTAACTGGGCCTTATATCACGTTTCTGTGTGAAAGTGTCATATCTAAGTCCATAAAGCTAACAACGTGTTGCTGTTTGTTTCCTAGGCTTACCTGGATGAGCTGGTGGCGCTGCACAAAAGACTGATGACACTGAGAGAGGGCCATATACTGCAACAGGTGTGTGTGTGTGTGTGTGTGTGTGTGTGTGTGTGTGTGTGTGTGTGTGTGTGTGTGTGTGTGTGTGTGTGTGTGTGTGTGTGTGTGTGTGTGTGTGTGTGTGTGTGTGTGTGTGTGTGTGTGTGTGTGTGTGGTGTGTGTGTGTGTGTGTGTGTGGTGTGTGTGTGTGTGTGTGTGTGTGTGTGTGTGTGTGTGTGTGTGTGTGTGTGTGTGTGTGTGTGTGTGTGTGTGTGTGTGTGCGCGTGCGTGCGCGTGCGTGCGTGGTCTGCAATATATCATCTGAGTCAGGGAGACTGTTGCTGCGAGGATGTGCCGCTGTCTTTAAACCAGAAGGCTGTGGCATGGCTAACGGTGTGTGAGCGTGTTGTTCCCTGAGCAGGTGGCACTGCTCTGTGTGAATGACTCGTAGTATGTAAAAGCACTTTGACGGTTGATAAAGGACTATATTAGTGCAGACCATTTAACACTCAGGGAACTAAAGGTGCAGCATGTAGTATTGCACTTAATAATTAATATTGACCCGACTCCCAATGAATATTTTTCCTTGTCAAAACTTGGTGCCGATATTAGATAGATAGATTCATACTTTATTTATCCCAAGTTGGGAAATTGTTTTGTCACAGCAACATTCATGTTCATTTATTACCCAAAATGCTTACCTAAATCCCTAACTAAACTGTCGACAGTTAGCCTGTGGCACAGATAAGAAGCTAGAGTTTTAAAGTAGCTCACACTGGCTTCAAAACAAGTTCTTTAATAAGTTGTTCAGAGAAAAGCGGCTGAAATCAGAAGGACACAGTTTCTGCTTCATCCTAGTGATCTCACCACACATCTTCTTTCTAATTGACATCAATGAGAACCAAGCTAGTGTCTGGTGAGAGGAGCAGAATACCTGGATAGAATTTAAATCAATACTTCAAACACGCTCTTTGCGGGATGATGTGTTTACTGAATAACAAGTGATGCTGGGACAGATTAAATCCCCAGGTAAGTAAGTTATGGTATGTCAGTCACTTGACGTCATTGGGCCCCAAATGACTTTTTCCCATTGTCTTACACTATATATCAACTTCCCAGTTCTAACACTTGAATAGCCCTTATTCAAATAATTAGGGTCTAATAGTGCGCTATGAGCCAAATCCAGAGTTATTTTCCCTTCTTTTCAATTAACTAAACGGTGATCTGGAAGATTGGAGGTGGGGCTTAAGGAAAACACAAGTGTATATACACTTTGATTTGTAAAATCAGTAACGGCCCGTCCACACTACAGCTTCAAAAAAAGCTTGGAGCTGGGCGTGTCTGAAGCTTGGGGATTTTATTCGAGCAACGCGACCAACAACCAATCACATGAATCTCCCGCCCCCGACATACAAAGCAAAAAACCCCGAGGATTTTATGCGAGCAATATATATATATATAAACTCCCCAAACAGGCGAAAACCTACCAGTTTCACCCACTGTCTCTGCCACCTCCCTCCTGGTTCTGGTTCTTCAAGGGTGAAGAGGGTCTGGTCATACAAAACCGGGTGATTTGCTACGGCGATAATTAGTTTCTCCTCCATCTTTTTTGGAAATATAGAAATGAACGGCTTATCTCTCCCAGCTTAGACGCGGTTTGATTGGCTAGGGCTTGAGCTGTCAGATTTTCAGAAACGGGATTTGATTGACTGGCGCTGGCTACTCCGGCGTCTCCTGCGTCACTTCTGACGCCGGAGACGGACCGCTATGCTACCCACAATTCAGTTCGGCGAAAAGCAAGGCAACGTGACGTCACCCCATTCAAAGTGAATGGGCAGATGCGTTGGAAACCGTTTTTGAAGCTGTCGAAGCTGTAGTGTGGACGGGCCGTAACATTTTTCTTCATGTTTGCCGGTAATTAGTATTTTGCCCTGATTCTCTATCTGCAGGTGAACATTGGTTTAAAACATGAAATGTAGTCGATGTTTGAACTTTGCAGTATTTACATTTACATTCCTGATTTTTTATATCTCTGAGAAAGTAATACGGATCTTCCTAACTCCAATAAAAACCAAAACCAAATTGTGTTGGATGGCTTTCCACAGTGTTCACAGATCTCATCATAACACTTGTACAAGTCGGTGTTATCAGTTTATTGTTGATTCAAAGAGGAGCGGTGATCTGTGGTAATCTGTTTCTCATCTGGAAGCAATTAATTATTTGGTTAACCTCTCCACCTCAGAGACTGCGTGTTTCTGACTTATATTCTCCGGGCCGATCATATGACGGTGTTGTTAGATCTCCAGGCAGCGACTGCCAACTTCTGCCTCGCTCTCCTGACAACACGCCTGGCTCTGGAAAGACTAAATCCCATCCAGCAAAGCACAGCTTTAACACGCTAATCAAGACAATCGCTGAGTTCACCAAGTGGCTCCACTTCCTCCTGCAAGACATGGAAGTGATTATCTGGCCGTCTGTCCTGCACACTCTTCACAGAGGGCCCTGTAACGCAGATGGCATGTCTTCAGACGGAGGAGCCTGCCAGGAGTTTGGTTTCCAGTTGAAGCGAATCCTTAACGGCAAACGGGCCAAATTGCCACCAAAAGTGGAGTGAGAGAGGGACGCCCCAGGGCCTGACTTAGATCTGCCCCGTCATAAAAACTCCTGTAATTTATCCCACATTTTTTCAAACTGCACCGACACCAAGAAATGTAGTTTGGTTATCGTGTAATCCTCAGGGACTCCCAACCTACAATTCCAACATTTGATAAAGACAACGAATAATACCTGCACGGAAAATTATTTTAAAGTCAGTAAAAGTTATCAACAAGAAAAAGGTTTAATAGGAACAGTATGCAACACCAATGCAAAGTACAGTATATTTGTTATGTCTGTGCGCTTGTATAAAAAGTGATAGTTAGGGAAGTAGCTTTTTCTCTGTGGCACTTAACCTCTTACACCATAACATTATGTCATTAAACACAGCAGCTTCAAAAACTCAAAATGCAAGCATAAGGTGCAACAAATAAATGTGTTCACGATATAATGTGTAATAACTACCTCTGCATTCTGAACTCAGCTCTGCATCCAAGTGGAGGAGCCTTTAGTTAATCGACTTAGCATGGAAGGCTCTGGGAGTTGTTGTTTTTGTGAAGAACTTCTGTGTAGTGACCACGATATCCATTTGTTTTTTGTCCTTTGTTTGTGATTCACTCGTGGGGCTGACCGACGAATAGACGCTTGTAGTTTGAGGGAAAAAATAGAAATGTCCAGATGCGATTGAAAAGTAAGATAGTTTATTCCAAAAAAGGCAAAAATAAATAAATGTTTTTAAACAAACTATTTGTCATATAAACTGATATTTCAATGTTAAAGGCAGAAGAACCAAGCTGTGACGCTCCCAACCAGCAAGGTCTAAAAACTGTTTGCTTCAGTCAGCCACACCAGTAGGCTGCAGCACCTCTCCTTTTATGCTGCAGCACCTCTCCTTTTATGCTGCAGCATCTCGACCTGCAGAGTAACGCACTCAAATAATAAATAAATAATATACACCACAGAATCTCAGGTTATACTCTAAAAAGATAAAATACTATAATCTAAGGAAATGGCTCCTACATTCTGCTTTAGCTAAATGATTGAAAAACTGAACTGACACACCTCTATTGGACTCCTTTGTTTACTCCTGTAACATAATGACAGCAGGAGAGGACTCTTTAAAGTAGAGACACTACATACTGATATACACCTGAACATCAGCAGGAGAGGACTCTTTAAAGTAGAGACACTACATACTGATATACACCTGAACATCAGCAGGAGAGGACTCTTTAAAGTAGAGACACTACATACTGATATACACCTGAACATCAGCAGGAGAGGACTCTTTAAAGTAGAGACACTACATACTGATATACACCTGAACATCATCAGGAGAGGACTCTTTAAAGTAGAGACACTACATACTGATATACACCTGAACATCATCAGGAGAGGACTCTTTAAAGTAGAGACACTACATACTGATATACACCTGAACATCAGCAGGAGAGGACTCTTTAAAGTAGAGACACTACATACTGATATACACCTGAACATCATCAGGAGAGGACTCTTTAAAGTAGAGACACTACATACTGATATACAACCTGACATCATCAGGAGAGGACTCTTTAAAGTAGAGACACTACATACTGATATACACCTGAACATCATCAGGAGAGGACTCTTTAAAGTAGAGACACTACATACTGATATACACCTGAACATCAGCAGGAGAGGACTCTTTAAAGTAGAGACACTACATACTGATATACACCTGAACATCAGCAGGAGAGGACTCTTTAAAGTAGAGACACTACATACTGATATACACCTGAACATCAGCAGGAGAGGACTCTTTAAAGAAGAGACACTACATACTGATATACACCTGAACATCAGCAGGAGAGGACTCTTTAAAGTAGAGACACTACATACTGATATACACCTGAACATCAGCAGGAGAGGACTCTTTAAAGTAGAGACACTACATACTGATATACACCTGAACATCAGCAGGAGAGGACTCTTTAAAGTAGAGAAAATGAGCAGAAAAGGGCCTCTTTAATAATAATAAATAAATGAACTATGTCCCATCAGCTTTGCCGGGAAGTTCAGGAGGTTGTTCTTCGTGAAGAACTTCTAGTTTTTCCTAAATAACTTTTAATCAATCTGAATTTAATCAAAATGTGCATGTGTTCGGGGTTGTGTGTCGATGTGTGTGTGCTCCCCTCTGTCGCACTTCCTGCTTCATAAAGCTGCTGATCCTCATGCTCCAGAGGTTTGTTTGCACACCAGTAAATATCTGACCCGAACTGGCCTTCAGCAAGTTGTGTAAGATATGTAATATCAATCCTTTAAACTGTCTTTCTGTCAGTGCACCTTTTTTCCTTTTTTTTCTTTTTCCACTTGGATAACATGGTTAGGATTCCCTGTGCTAGTTTGCTGTAAAGTTCTCATGGCCCTCTCTTCTTATATTATTCTCAGGCTTATGTATAGTTCAGCACATTAAAGCCTGTTTTAACCCGTTATGGTTTTAACCATAACCTGTAACCAGTTCACTATTTGTTTGGACAGATATTTAATTGCAGAGCTCTGATTGTCCCCTCTGTTTTCAGATTGTGAACCTGATTGAAGAGACGGGACACTTCCACATCACAAACACTACTTTTGACTTCGACCTTTGCTCCCTGGACAGAATTACAGTGAGGAAGCTCCAGAGTTACCTGGAGACCTCCGGCCTGTCCTGAGGCTCTGAGCAGCTGGCTGCTGGATCTCTGTCTCGGAGGAGGATTTCCATTTTTCCCATTTCTCTTGAAAAAACTCCAACTTTGGATACAATGCAAAAGCCCCACTGTGGCTGGGACCAGTCGCTGTGTCCAGTCGCTGTGTCCAGCCTGCTGTTGCACCGGCTCTCTGAATGGAGGGTTGGGGGTCCCGCTGCAGAAAGCAGAGCCTGGTGTTGTGGGGATGAGCCCTGTGGATCAGGAGATCACCCAGAAAGCCTTGAAACTTCTCTTGATTTAAAAAAACGAAAAAGTGGGAAGCTGCGACCCTGTTGCTCTTAATGAATGTGCAAATTGTTACAATGTATGTTCCTTGATTTGTTGTTCATTGGGACAAATGCATGGTCAACATTGCCTTACAACATTGTAAGTCTTATTTATTGGGGTGTGTGTGTGTGTGTGTGTGTGTGTGTGTGTGTGTGTGTGTGTGTGTGTGTGTGTGTGTGTGTGTGTGTGTGTGTGTGTGTGTGTGTGTGTGTGTGTGTGTGTGTTTTTTGAAGCACTTCACAACAGGCATTACTGAGGACACTTGATTGGTCGCTGACCTGAATTGAAATTGCATGTCATATTGCATCATTACAATGGGAAGAAAAAACTGCCAGAGCAGGTGTGAAGGTGATGCTGAAAATAACATTTATATTTAAATCCATTACTACATGTTTCAATGTGTGCTTCATAAACACAGGGGAGAAGGTCCTTTAGAAAAACCCTTAGTTGTCTCACTGGCCTCTAAGGGCTTGCAAAGATGCCTTGACAAATAAAAAGAAATACACATACATTTAAAGGAAAAACATTGTGTAAAGATATAAATAGAATCTCAAGACATTGCCTATATCAGAAAATGTGCCTGGCCCAGGAATATTGTCTCATTGTCCACCTTTCTGAAGCATACTGAAGTTTTCAGGGCACAGGAAGTACTTGTTGCTTTTACTTATAGGCTTTCTGTGTATAATCTTCATCTTAAAACAAACCGTTTTAAAGGGAAATAATCTACACATCTTGGCTTTAAAAACCCAGCAAGACGTATGGATTTTTTTTTACGCAACTTCAATCAATCAATATAATCGCCTCGGCATGCTCTAAATGACTTCTAGACAATGTCCCGCTGTTTCAGAAAGCCACCAAATAATTTCATACATCACTTGGCAGTTTTTTATTCCCATATTTTCTCCAGATGTGAGCTGAGCACAAATCTCTAAGGTGGAAGTTCTCATGATGGAATCAAAAATATATTTTTACCAAATCCAGGAATAATATGCTGCCGACCGGCTTGTTGCCTGCAAACGAAAGAAAGCTTTGTTGTGTTGGCTCATATTTTGCTACAGGGCTAATGGAACATGCCAAAAGCATAGTGAGTAGAAGCAGTTGTTTAGGATACTCGTGTTTGGCTACAGAGTGACTGAAAGAATATCATTATCTCTTTGCCGGGAAAATAGACCAAACCCTGTCCGAGGAGAGGAACAACAAACTGCCTGTATGGTGGAAATGGAAAACAGCTCCTGTGTTCTGCATTTCTGAAATGTGTGAAATATTTTGGGTAGATTTAACAAACGAGAAGGCCAATGGGAGATTTGGCTGACAGGTACTGTTACGGGTATAATAAAAAAAAAAGAATCTTTTATTTATTTTGTGGATGTTTTGAGTTGTTAAATCAAAGCTCAACATTATTTTCCAAGGAGAATGCCTTTGTTTGATTTGTACCAAGGACCCGAGTGCCAGTGTGATAAACTAAAGTTCAGGATGGTGCCGACTTTTCCAAATGACCTTAAAGGGTTTTCTCACCCTGTGTTCTGTCTGATGGTTTCTTGTGTATTTTGAGGATATACAATAAATATTCTGTATGATGTACAGATGATTTAATAAGTAACTTGTGGTTGAGTTATTTTGGCACATATTGTTAAACCTTTTTTTTTTTTATTCCCCACATAGCAATTATTATAAAACGAAACATACACTTTAAGAAGTTTTCTCCAAACCAACATTTTTTGGTGGCCTAAATAGAAATTCAACTCAAAGCCCCTTTGTATACGATTCGATAATTTCTAAATTTGGCGATACCTAGTGGTAGTATGAATGAGACGTTTACTTCTTTTCATGAGGATGCTGATGTCCCCGTCCCGATTGATTCGACCTGCATGATGATGGGAGAGTCGCACCGCTGCGCAAAGTCTTCTCCAGGACATCCCAAAGACTCTCAATGGGGCTGAGGGCTGGACTCTGTGGGGGCCAATCCATGTGGAAAGTATGTCTCCTGCTCCCTGAAGCACTCATTCACCATGTGAGCCCCCCGGGCATTGTCCTCTTGGAATATGCCCATGCCATCAGGGAATAAAAACTCCATAGACACGGGCCGTTTCTCAATGTCGAGTATACCTACTGCAGAGCCACTATTTCAAGTATACTACGTCATCGAGTGGCGCCGAATGCTGGGCATTTAACATGCATTTAAACAGTCCTTCGTATAGTGGCTCTGCAGCAGGTTTACTCGACATTGAGAAATGGCTCAGTATATTCAGGAAGTCAGCTGACATCATTCTTTGGGAACGTATAGCTGAACCTCAGTGGCGGCGCCAGAGATTTTCTCTGGGCTGCTGTGGGGTAGCTTGACGTTTCATAGAGTGCTCAAACATTAAGGGTTTCCCATTAATGCACCAGCGCTACAGTTGAATTTTCTACTGCAACAATCCACACACACACACACACACACACACACACACACACACACACACACACACACACACACACACACACACACACACACACACACACACACACACACACACACACAGTGCACCCGCGACTGTAACAAAGAAGGCTCGATAATCAGCTCATAGGTGTAAGCAGGGGTAAAGTGCTATTTTTACAAGTGGGGAGTGGACCTCACGTCCTCTAGGAGGGTCCTCACCTCCTCTAGTGGGGTCCGGGGGCATGCTCCCCCGGGAAGATTTTTTTAAAATATTGAAGTTAAAAGCATCAATCTGGTGCACTTTGAGAGCAACATTAAGAGATCTATGGATACATCTCTCAACACCCATATGAAACAGAACTGTAAACAGATTTTCTATTTCTTCATAGACATTTTACAAATCACTCCCCTTTTAAAACAAACCGTTTGAGACCCACTGAGATAACTAGACTAAAGTTAACTATCTAAACACTGAGAGTCCTTTACTTCACCTGAGCTGAGGTTACCTGAGACTCTCCGTCTGACAGGAGATAGTTCTCCCTCCACCTTGTTGTTGAAAAAGGAAAGGAAAGGAAACACCTCGCTTTTGGAAGTGCAAGCATTCATGCATTATTAACTGCAAACCCGACGCGAAAGTACTTACCCCCGTCAGGCAAACTAGACCGAAGAAGTATGATCGTCTTGGTCTTGTTGATAGCGGGAGACATCCATCAGAATCCGGGCCCGGTGCAGACAAGAAGCCAGTCCTGCAGGCTCGAGGAGCTAGCATCACAACTAGCATCACAACTAGCATCTCTTCCGCTGCAGCAACAACTACGCAACGACAACAGAGACCGTGGAGACAGCGCAGCGGAGACCGAGGAATTAACGGAGACTTCGTCATTCCCCCGGGGACGCCTCGGCAGACAGACACGCATGAGGCAGTGACGAGAGGAAGAGAACCGAGATCCGAGGGAACAAATATCCGCCATGTTGTTAGCCACCCTGCTAGCATATCAACGGCTAAAGCTACAACGGAGCCTCCCTCCCCCCACCACCACCCCACCTCTCCAAACACCACGGCAGGCCGCAAGCCGGTTGCTGTAACGGACAAAGACAAATATCTGCAAGCTGACGACATTGTGCATTTAAGCAACAAAAATGGACTACATATTTTTCATCTGAACACTAACAGCCTGAGACACAAACTGGCTAAACTCAGGCAGCTATTCATGAAGGGAGTGGCTATATACAGGACGGTCCTGTATATAAGGTCTCTGAAATGGCTATATACAGGACCGTCCTGTACACAACGCCAAATGACTATATACAGGACCGTCCTGTACACAACCCTCTGAAATGGCTATATACAGGACGGTCCTGTATATAAGGTCTCTGAAATGGCTATATACAGGACCGTACAGGAGACATTTAAAACCTATGTCATATGTATTATTGCTACATAAACATTATATCGCAGTCTTAGTGTCGCCAACTCCGTTTCTAATATGCAATATGACTATAAAATGCGTCTATAATGTATTTTCGATCTTCCCAATTCAGACGAGAGATCTCTCCCCCGCCTGCTTGCGAGGGGGCGGGGCAGTTTACACACACACACACGCAGCTGCTACATGCAGCAACACACACACACACACGGAGGAGATGGCGGAGAGAACGCGCTCCGAGGTGTGGTTAAACTTTAGCCGTCTCGATGTGGACAATGCTCGTTACCAAAAGTGCAATAACAGTTTAGCATGTAAGGGCGGTAACACGAGCAATTTGTCTAAACATTTAGCAAAAGTGGTCCACATTCACACGGAGGAATGCACCGGGTTCCACTGTCTTTCTAGCAGCTCTGTAGCTCCGTCCACGAGTAACGTTTCCACGTCAGGTGTTATGTATGCTAGCAGCAATACACAGAGTTAACTCAGTTATACAAACATGGGTTAATGATTAGAGGAAACTGAGTTATTTATTTTGTTAAAGTTTCAGCTATTCTGTTTATAGTTCTGTTATCACATTATTTAATATGATTTGTTAAAACATTGTTGTTTCTTTTGATGTGAAATATTATGCATTTAATTAAAATAAAAAGCAATGTTAGTTTTGTTCACAATTTGTTTAGTTAGTTTACCTTATGTCTTGTCAAAAGAACCGTTAATACTATCGTTAAAAGGACCGGATCGATAAGCAGTATCGATATAAGTAGTAGTACAGTTAAAACCTTAACGATCCGAATAATCGATTAATCGTTTCATTAATCGATAGATTAATCGATTATCAAATTAGTCGTTTGTTGCAGCCCTAGTTTGAAACCAGAGGATGACCTTCACCAATTTTAGAAATGAAACCTGACATTTCATGGGATTTTCACGTCTTTATCGGCAGAAAAATCGAGTCGCTTTTTATGTAGTCTACAGAAATATGGATATAATTGGTGTACAATTAACGTTTACAGCAGGATAAATTACAAAAATGTACAGCATACTACATACAATTCAAAATACGGTTTCTCCGATTTCTAAAATAAAAATGCCGGCGTAGCCGATAAATGATTTGTGTTGCTTTCAATGCAAAATCACTACACGTCAACGAAATGTCGGCGTATTCTTTAAAAAAAAAACCTTCAGTTTTAATAAAACCGAGTAGTCTTTAAAGTATGCAGTGATATCCTTTACAAGTAAAACATTGTGCATTGGAAAATATAAAGTAGAAAATGATTGAAACAACATAAAAAGATAAGCCAAAAAAAAGACTGAAATCAGCATAAAAAGCTAAGCAATTGGCATGGAAAGAGATTTAATTGCCACAATTTTATATTGAGGGGAAACTCATTGAAAATAATGTTGTCGTGAGAATATTTATCTGTGAATCCTATCCCTACATTACCACCCGCGAAACTTGCTTAAGCATGCTATCATAGCCCAGTCTGTATATAGTCATTTGACGTTAGCTGCAGGACGGTCCTGTATATAGCCATTTCAGATATCTTATCCACAGGACCGTCCTGTATATAGCCATTTCAGAGAGCTGTTTACAGGACGGTCCTGTATATAGCCATTTCAGAGAGCTGTTTACAGGACGGTCCTGTATATAGCCATTTCAGAGACCTTATATACAGGACCGTCCTGTATATAGCCATTTCAGGGCTTCTGTGCAGGACCGTCCTGTATATAGCCATTTCAGAGAGCTGTGTACAGGACGGTCCTGTATATAGCCATTTGGCGTTGTGTACAGGACCGTCCTGTATATAGCCTCGGCCGGTCTTTGATGCGTAAGTGTGTCTCCTGTAAAAAAACGACATCTGCATTTAACTTTCTGAGGTGAGAAAAAACTCTTGACCTTTTGACAGGGCTGTTCATAGCCTTTACATTCCAGGACAAGAATTTTGTGGAGTTAGGTCTATCTGGAGTCAAACCATTATCCGCCATCTATCCCATACAAACTGGAAAGTGCAGTGGCCCAGGCAATTGCAAAGTGGAGAGAAACAAAACAAACAAACAAAGAAAACAAAAAAAAACAATAAAAGCAAATATACAAACATACCCTCAACAGACAACAATACAACAACTCACCCAAGTCCCGTGCCCACGTCCCCAAACGATGGAGACGGCAGGCAAGAAACCTTGCGGTTTCCGGTGCGGAGGCGAAAAGCTCCTACTATCTATAGTACTGCTAACACATAACTGGTAGCTCTGCAGCTTGTTTACATAATCTAACTAGAGTATGGAAAACACATAAGCATATAACAAAAAGTGAGCTCATTTGAAAGATGGCTAATAAGAATTGCAGTAAAACACGTCTCAATCAGACCTTTAAGCCCTGAGTAAACCCAGTTAAATATAATATTCCAAAACATCTCCCTTAAAGTGAACTTAGGAAACAGCTTAGCAAAGCAGGAGACAGAGCTCTGAAAAAATGCTTCAATAATACTTAAGTTAACTTAAAGAAATGAAAAATGAAATTGCTTCAAATAGGCTGACAATTAAACGTTAAACGACAAATTAAAGCTGAATTGTATACAAATATATATATATATATATATACACATACACATATATATATATACACATACACATATATATATACATACACATACATAGGCCTACATACACACACACACACATACATACACACCCATATATATATATATAGGCCTACGCGGGGAAAGGATAAGTACACCAACCTATATCAACAGC